TTCCGAGCCGTTCCGAGCCGCTCCGAGCCGTTCCGGCCCCGTCCCCGCAGGATCGTGTCCCGGGAGCGGGAATTCCGTGGCAGCAGAGGGCAGCAGCAGCGCGGGCACGGCGGCTCCCGGGGCTCCGGGGGCTCCCGGGGCACGGCCTGGGCTCCCCCCGGTGGGGATTGGCATCCCCAAAGTGCTTCCCCAGGGATAATCCAGCCCCGGCAGCAGGAATGGGGCCGAGCTTCCCTCTGATCGCCCTGGGGTCGGATCTGCCCCCTCCTGTCCCAGGAGAGGCGTGGGAACAGTGGGATGTGATTCCTTTCCTTTTTCCTTATTTCATTCCTTATTCCTTTCCTTATTCCTTGTTCCTTATTCCTTGTTCCTTTCCTTATTCCTCATTCCTTTCCTTATTCCTTATTCCTTTCCTTGTTCCTTATTCCTTGTTCCTTTCCTTATTCCTTTCCTTGTTCCTTATTCCTTTCCTCGCTCCTTTCCTCGTTCTTTGTTCCTTTCCTTGTTCCTTATTCCTTTCATTACTCCTTTCCTTATTCCTTTCCCTATTCCTTGTTCCTTTGCCCCCAGAATTGCGACTTTATAGCCCAAAACTCCATAAAAACCTGGAATTACCTCGTTCTCTTTGGGAAACAATTCCGGGTTTTATCTGTGGATATTAAAAGGGGATGATTGTACCATGTGGTTAAATATTTTCTTTTATATATATATATATATATATATATATAAAAGAATATATAATTTAATCTTTATGGATCTGAGCAGCTCTGGGATGGGAGTAGGGATTGGGAGAAGGATTTTGGGGGGAATTTGGGACTGTGACAAGGAGCTGGAGACTCTTCCCAACTTTCCAGGATAAGAGGGGATGAGGAGAAGAATTTTGGCGGGATTTGGGGCTGTGATGAGGAGCTGGAGACTCTTCCCATCTTTCCTCTCCAGAAAAGGACCGGGATAAATTGTCAGGAACGGGAAGGAGCCACATCCCCCTGGCGGTGCCCTGGCACGGCTCTAATCCCAGGTAATTGGATTTACAGGGAGCGCTGGATCCAATTACGGCGCCCTAATTAACGGCCCGCAGTTACAAGAGCGCCGTGCCTCGCTCGCAGCAACGGGGATTAATTTTTCCAGGATCCACAGGCAGCAGGAATGTGGATAATGGAGCTGGCAGGAGGAGGAGGAGGAACTTCCAGGGGTGATGGGCACGGCCCTGGAATTTGGGGGCTCCTGCTGGTTCCTCTCTGGAATTTCTGGAATTTGGGGGGTCCTGGTGCCTCCTCCCTGGAATATTCCCCTGGAGAAGGGAAGGATCCAGGAAGAGCTTCCAGCACATTCCAAGGCCTGAAGGGGCTCCAGGGGAGCTGGAGAGGGACTGGGGACAAGAGATGGAGGGACTTTGAATTAAAAAAGGAGATATTTGGGGATATTGGGAAGGAATTCCTGGCTGGGATGGAATTCCTGAAACCTGGAAGTGCCCAAGGCCAGGCTGGAGCAGCCTGGGGCAGTGGGAGGTGTCCCTGCAATGGGAGGAGTTTTAAATTCCTTAAAAAACCCAAACCATTCCACGGTTCTATGATAAAACCCTGGAATTCCCAGAGATCCCCTGGGATATTCCCACACATGGACACACCAGATTTGGGAACTGGGAACCTCATCCCTGTGTGGGACATCCCCATTCCCGCAGTTCCCAGCTCCTCTCCAGCATTTCCCACTTTTCCCTGGGGCTGTTCATTCCTTATGTTTATTATTTATATTTATTATTCTTTTTTTTCCTGCATCCCTCCCTGCTGGATGGAGCCGCTGCCCAGCCATTCCCGGGAAATCGCCTGAGGGATCACCAGCCGGGAATTCCTTTATTCCAATTAAAAAAAAGGACAATCCTCGGTGGGGAAAGCTCGGCTGTGGAGCTGGGATTCATCCCGTTTTCCCTCCTCTGGAAAAAAAAAAAAAAAAATCCCGAAGTTACAAAGAGCTTTTCCCTTTCCTTTCCTTTTCCCCGAGGAATTTTCCTCATTCCAGCAGTCCCTGGGATTTTCCTGCATCCCAAGGGGCTCCAGGATTCCCAAAACCATCCCGGGATTTCTGGAGAAGCAGTGGGATCGCTTCTCATTGCTCTGTTTGCTGTTCCTCGTTAGGATGTTCCCAAGCATCCTCCAGTTCCAAACTCGGGACGTTAATCCCGAGTTTTATCCAAACAGGGAATCTTCCTCGGTGATTTCAAACTCAACTTGATAAATCCTTCATAAAAGAAAAAAGGGATTTTATCTCCAAAGGAGCCGGGGAGGGGAGAACAGCTCTCATCTTCCTCTTCTCCCGGATTCTCCCTGGAGCTGCACAATTCCTCCCGTTCCCGCTGGAATTTTTCCCTGCCGGTGGAGAAATCCCAACCTGGGGAGCATTCCCGAGGTCGCGCTCCTGCCTTTGGTGTCCCCGCGGAGCTGGGATTTGGGGCTGGGATTTGGGGATTTGTGGGATGTGCCGAGAGGGAAGCGCTGATGGCCACGGGGGGATTTTTGGTTGTCCCCGGGATGATCCCAGTGGCTCTTTGATCGCGACAAGTGGGGACATCTGCCCGTGTCCCCGTCCATCCCCAGCCCTCCATTCCCGAATTTGGGAGCGGCAGGATGGGAAAGGGACGGAATTTGGCGACAGGGACATTCCTTGGCTGCTCTGGTGCCGCATCCCCGGATCTCAGCTCCTCCAAAGGGATCCCTCAGCTCCTCATCCCCGACCTCTCCATCTTTTTATTCCCAACCCTCTCTCCCTTCCTCTCCATCTTTTTATTCCCAACCCTCTCTCCCTTCCTCTCCATCTTTTTATTCCAAATTTTCTCTCCCTCCTCTCCATCTTTTTTATTTCCAATTTTCTCTCCCTCCTCTCCATCTTTTTATTCTCAACCCTCTCTCCCTTCTTCATCTTTTTATTCCAAATTTTCTCTCCCTTCTTCTCCATCTTTTTATTCCCGACTCTCTCTCTCTCTTCCTCTCCCTTCTCCGAGCCCTCCCAGCTCCTCACGCGGGGCTTTGATCTCCAGGAAGCCCCTTCCTCTCTCCAACCCCTCTGCAGTGCTCGGGGGAGGTTCATTAAAGCAGATGAGGCCGCTTTGATCTTGCAGGACCTTTCCCTTTCATCCCTGCTCCGAGCTGGAGACCCGGAGCTGCTCCTCAACTTCCCGGGAAGAGCTGGGGGGATCCCGGCCCTTGGGGAGCCCAGGTGGATCCAGGTGAACCCCTGGAAACTCAGAAGGGAGGAAAATCCAGAGGGATTTTTTTTTTTGAGGGGAGGGGAGGAAGCTTGGAATGGACGCACAGAGGCGGTGCTGGAGCTCTGGGGAAAACTGGAAAGGGAAAAGGAAAGATAAAAACGATCCTGGGGAGAAAAAAGGGAAAGGTTGGGAAGCAAAGGAGGAGGCGGCCAAGGGCAGCTGCTCCTCGTGAGGCCTTTGGAGCGACGTGTCTGGGATGGATAAACCAGGATTAATTAATTCATTAATTAATCCCGTTCCTGGCCATGGGTTGGGCTCTGGGCTCTGCCTGTTCTGAGAGGGGCTGTGGGAAACGGGATGGGAATGGGAAATGGGGATGAGGCTGCAGGAACTGGGCTGAGAATGGGCCTGGGAACTGGGAATGGGGATTGGGAACGGGAATTAGGATGGAAACTGGGGAGACGGGGGGTGAGGGTGCAGGGATGCAGGACATTGTCCCTCCTTCAGACCACATTCCTTTGTCCCACCACGGTCTCTTGTCCCATTATTGTCCCTCTGTCCCATCACTGTCCCTTGTCCCATTATTGTCCCATCATTGTCCTTCTATTCCACCCTTGTCCCTCTGTCCCACCCTTGTCCCTCTGTCCCCGCGGTCCCGGCTGGCAGAGCTCGCTCTCAGCCCTTAATAAGCCGTGATTCACACCCCGCGCTTAATTAGCAATTCAGCGAACGGTTTGTAATTCAGGCACGACCCTGATTGCATCCGAACGCGGCTTTATTTCTTCTCTGCCGCTCGCATTCTGAGCACTAATTACGCCTCTCTGGATGCTAATTGCTTCCCAGCCCTCTGCCGCCGTCTTTCCTCAGCAACATTTATTTTTCACGCGTCCGTGTGTTTAAAGTGAGAAAAGCCGCGAGGGAGGTGGGAGGAGGGAATGGCGCGGTCCGAGGATTCTCCGGGATCGGACGT